GTTCCCCGAACTCGAAAATCCTATTGCGTTGGGTGGGTGGGTGGGTGGAGGGGGGGGGGGTATGACCAACTTCTCGAAGCCAACTTACTCTCACTTCCAATTTTTTCTGTACGATCCTTGATATCTCTATACTATGTTATAAAGTGGGGGTGGGTGGGGGCCACCATCCTTTCAATGAACATTTACTATAGTCAAGGTAATCATGGTAATGTTGGGGAACAAAGTGCCCCCCCCCCCCCCCTTGCGGATGCTACGTCCCTGCAAAGTTGAGATGTGAACTGATGTTCATCCAACATGTACATGGTCATGATGATGTATTGTTGGAGATAATTCACGATTTTTTGCAAATTGGAAACCAAATTAAGCTTCTTTTTTTTTGAAAAATTATGTCGGTCAATAGACGTATATTGTACCTTTTTTTAAGTATTAGGTGACAATATTACCTTCAATATTCGCTATGTTTACAGAAAATTCAAGATAGAGATATTGCTAATTCATACTCCTAGGCCCTAACATGCGAGTATCCTTTATTGCCGAAAAATACCACATTTTTCTTTGACATATCCAACATATAAGTTTTTTTTTTCTGCTACACCAGTCCGGGCTAAAAATAAACCCCGTCCATGACCTTGGGTAAACAGGAAGAAGATTACCAATTATTGCCGCTTATATCATTTCCTGATTATTCACCAACTAATCGCTAAACGAACCAACAACTTTTAAATTAATGACAATTAAAGGTCGAAAAATGTCTTGAATCTAAAATAATTCAATTAGAAACGCAATTTGAATGTCTTATTTTAAACTTTTGCTGGCCTATTTTTTTTCGATGTTGCTACGACCTCCTGCGTTAAAATAACATGTGCTTTGTCGGAACTGACAATGACCGAAACACAATTTTTCCAAGTGAAAGCAGTATCATGACAGATAATAGAGAGAAAAGTTTAAACCTCATCCGCTGCAGGGCTTTGGAAAACACCTGTTTAACCAGTTTTTGCATGTATTTTGCTTGTGCACGTGAACCAGCCTTCAACAGCTGTTCAAAATTTCTTTGCAACTTGGTTGGCGGAGATCAGGTTAACTGGTTAAAGTCGAGAGACTAGAGCCCAATGGTGTGCTTAAACATCGATCACAGTAACTGGATGTCATTGGTCAGTGTCATTTGGATTAGAAAACTCTTTAAAAATCTTCTTCTCAAGAACAACAAAGCCATGATTGGTCATATTTTAATGGAAGCATCCCCAGGACTGATATTTCTGCTTTTTCCTAGCCAGAATGCTCAGGTGAGCACATTTTCATTCATTTCATGATAAGTGTTTTGAATTTCAGGTAAATGTCAGTATCTCGAACATGGGATATCTAGAATACCCCGCTTATGTCGAAGTCGATAGCCGGTCCCTGCCGATTTCTCTATATTTATGATTTAAAAAACACCTGATATCTCGAATACCCTGCTCATGTAGAAGTATATATATTTAAAGTCCCAGGCGTTTTTTTTACCTGGCGTATCTCGAAGTGCAGCGAATTTTTAGGTCTACTGAAAACACCAGGCAACATGACTTAATTAAAACATTATCACCAGTGGCTATTAATACTTGATATCGCGATTACTTAACTTAGCGGAACTCTTTCGTGAAGGAGGTAGGAATCGTCTGTTGAGTGGGGGCAATTTGCTTTTCAATACAATGCAAGATCGATTATTGTAGCATTTATAAGGACAGATAAGTAAAAAATCCCGGTGGAATATACCTCGCTAAACAATTGCTGAACCAGTCTAATATATTTTATAATATAAAATATATTTTACCAACACCAACTTGGGTGTTTGGTGTACATTAAGTCCACGACTGATAAAACTAACCTGACTTCGCCGCAGTTCAGAAATTAAATACAGACAGTATTACCGATATTGCAATTAATTATATACTGTGTATGATTAAAGATCGTAATTTCATAAAACACCAATTTTTTTCACGATAAACTTAAATAAAACAGTCAAGTTGCATTGCATAATGCACAGTGCAATGATTGATTACATTCATGTTTATCTGCATACAGATAGCTTTCACCGCCATTTGCATTATTAGTTTCGTAAAGTACATGTTCTTTATTATTATGCCTCCTGTCAGGTTGTCTCTCTATAATCCTTACCCTACTATTCTGGCATAGTGGTCTAAGGATTTATATACTATACCGAAAAAGTGCAGGGCTTTATTTACCGAACAAAATTCTTCATTGCACACAACCCTGATCGAACTCAGGACCATGAGATTGTCAGTCCGATGCCTTATCGATTACGCCACAGAAACGATCACTGATTGGTGGTATTTTATTAAATATCTAAACTTAATCAATACAATTGACACAAAAGGGAAGAAATAGATAAATTTTATTTAAAAACAGTTATATTTTTATGTGGAACCTTAGATTAATGTATGCAACAAAGTTTCAAACTAATTACATACAGATCGTTAGATGAACTGATTTCATAGGGTCATTAAAACGCTTTTTTATATGACGCTTGATTGCAGGATGTAAAAGAAAATTATCAATGAGAATCGATGTCTGCAAACAAATAAGTCTTACTAACAAAACAGAAAATTAAGATGAGTTGCTTTGGGACAGACAATCCTGACTTATTTAGAGAAATACTAGTAACCAAAATAACTAAGCATGCAACCAATTTTGGCATAAAGATTTAGCAGTCTTCACGAAAACTTTTCAAACTAACTGGCCAGTCAGATCAGTGAACTTTCAAAATGTACTGGCCCACCAAAATTTTAACTGGCCCCTTAATGAAAAAATAAAATAAATACATTTTTTATAACTAGATTAATACGTTTACACACTTCAACTTTTGAAATGCCGCCATTTTTCGTCCTTTGTTGTGTTTTGGTAAGTTGTTCGTTGGAAATTCGCAAATTTTACGCATGTCTAGTTAATAGTTACTTGCTAGTTCCTGTTACGTAAATCATCCAGGTTATAATAATACGATTCAACAACATGTGTTTTTTTTTTCATTTTATATATTAATGAAATTTAAACAAGTAAGTCAGTTTAAATATATATTGACTGTTTATGATTTTTAAAATCAACAAGCCCATCGGACTTCTTGAATTTTGATTTTCACTGACCCGACATCAAAATTCACTGGCCTCGGTCTTCAAACCAGTGAGTTTTTGTAAAGACTGTGTTTCAGGAAAAAGTCAAATGGATTGCTGCATAAATAATTACAACAGTCAGCATAATAATACATTGGATAGTGTTGCATTATGCATGTGCTATGCCTAAATAGTAGGCAGGGTTTGACCATGTTGACACATAGTGCACTCGCCAGACCATGTGTCAAACCCTGCCGACTATTTAGGCATAGTTCATGCATAATGCAACACCATTATGCGAGGGTTGTCCCAAAAAGTCGTGGACAATGTTTATAATTTTTTTAATATGCAACCAATACTAACCAAATTTTGCATAGACATAATATATCGTAAATCTGGAAATTTTCACGTCGATTTATTTTTGCGAATTTGGGTCAAAAAGCTGTTGATTAATTTTTACGCTTCAAATTTTTGCGATTGTCACTGGTGATAAAAATAAAAATCACTAAAGATTTTCATATCAGGTTATTTTTCAAATAATATGCCCAGTTAGAATACCACCAATATACTCGCAACGTGGAAAGAAATTGCAAAATCGCTCCAAACATTTTTGATAAAAATACAAAAAGATTTGCACTGGATATTATTTCTAAATCAATTACAACAAACATTTTAGAGAATGTTGTATGCCTTTTAACCTAAAGTATAATCCAAATGAAGAAAAATGTAACTAATTTTCTCAATGTTTGTTTTTTTTCCCACCTAAAATTAACACGCCGCGTTAACATTTGGAACTTTCTAGTAAATACACTGGGTTTGAGTTATCGCCCGTGTTGATACAGGGTTAGATAAAATGACAGTTCTCCTTCTATTGACAAAGTGCACATATCTGATACTGGTCCCATGAATGTTACAAATATGTTCAAAAATAAAAGTTGTTAAATCAGAAACTTTGGGGTATATTTCTGTTGTTCTGACATCTAACTTTTAAAATCTTGAAAATCAGACCTACAGTATTCATAGTTTTTGTTTGACAAAGGGTTGAAAATGCAACTTCACGTTTTCTTGTGTTCATAACAAGTGTCTTTCAGTTTGTGATAATGAATGAACAAAATTGTTATTCAATGTTAAGGATTCATTTTCTTCTCCTTTATGTAATATGTAACAGTTTACAAACTAATTATTCAAATTTCAACTCCCTATTGTAACAATTCTGAAATGATTTACTTTAGACACCGTTATGAACAACATTATGGGATCAAGAAGTTTACAGTGAATAAATTTCCTTAAAGTCTCCTGCTGAACATGCACATCCTTACATACTATGTTGTCATCCACATATTTTATTGTAATGTTTTAAGCTTTTTACTGGTTAATGAAAATTTTATTGCAAAAAAATTACTCCATTTTATTGTTCATAACCAAGACACTTGAAGGCCGGAGTGGTAGTGATGTTTCCTTTATTCACATTTTAACTCAACCACCTTCTGTTGCATGTTACTTGTTATAACATATATTCCAATTTGCAGTAATTCTGGTAATATATTTCATGCATATTAGCTATTAGTTGGAAATAGTATCACCATGCCTGCAGAGGAGATCCAGAGCAATATTGTGTGTGACCAACAAATAACCATGTATGTGAATGACTTGAAAGTTATCCTGGGATGCCAACGATACAAAAGCACCAGACAAATTATTTTCAATAACTGTTTTAATATAAATTTATTACATTTCAAAAATATTCTTCTTCCAAATTACAAATCTGAAAAGAAATTAAAAAAACTAACTGTATATACAGTTTTGATCAAACCAATTGAAATTTGTTGGCTGGGCCCTCTATGGTATGGGGTTCTTATAATGGCTGGGCCCTCTATGGTCTTGGGCTCTCCACTAAGTGTGACTTGTGGTTCCTCAGGTTGACTTATAATGACTGGGCCCTCTATGGTCTGGGGCTCTCCACTCAGTGCGACTTGTGGTTCCTCAGGTTGACTTATAATGACTGGGACCTCTGGTCTGGGGCTCTTCAAATGGCTGGGCCCTCTAGGATCTGGGGCTCTCCACTCAGTGCCACTTGTGGTTCCTCAGGTTGACTTATAATGACTGGGCCCTCTATGGTCTGGGGCTCTCCACTCAGTGCGACTTGTGGTTCCTCAGGTTGACTTATAATGGCTGGGCCCTCAATGGTCTGGGGGTCTCCACTCAGTGCCACTTGTGGTTCCTCAGGTTGACTTATAATGGCTGGGCCCTCTTTGGTCTGGGGCTCTTATAATGGCTGCGCCCTCTATGGTCTGAGGCTCTCCACTAAGTGCGACTTGTGGTTCCTCAGGTTGACTTATAATGGCTGGGCCCTCCATGGTCTGGGGCTCTTCACTCAGTGCCACTTGTGGTTCCTCAGGTTGACTTATAATGGCTGGGCCCTCTTTGGTCTGGGGCTTTCCACTCAGTGCCACTTGTAGTTCGTATTCTTTTATGTTCCCTCCACTTTTTGTGCTGTTCCTCACAAGTGTTACGGGGTCTTCAGGTTTCCACTCATTATCTGCCTTTCCCTGCATTTTCAGTCTTTCTCTGTACCTCTTCTGGCCGACTCTTTTTCTGACTCTGACACTTTCTTTTTCCTACAGACTCCATCATCTGAAAAATAACACATGACATAGTAAGACAAATATGTAATTAAGCCTTGTGATAATGAAGCATAAAATCTATTTCTTGTTGTGTCACAAGTGTCCATGCTATGAACAAACCAAGTTCCTGATATATTTTTTCACCCCATGCTACAACAATATTAAATTAAAACCTCATTTTAACTTAAACCTTCCAGCCAAGTAAAATTCTTCAGTTATTTTTAATAGATCTTTAAAATCTATCTTTTAAAAGTCTTATATAGATGTTCTTAACAACAGACTACAAAAAAAATTATACAATTTGTGTCCGTATTATGAACAATTGCAGATTTGTTTAATCATTAAATTTTATGTTTGTTACTGCTTATAAACATTTTATTATAAAATATTAATCCATTTTTTTTCAAAATGAAATTGCAAATTTACAGAATAATAATTCTGAATCAAACTATTCAAATGGTTTTCTGTTCATAATTTGGACTCTGGAAACTGCACATCCATTACAGGGTCTTGTTATGAACAATACCTTTTTTTAAAATTCCCACACCTTGTGATACTTAAATAAAGCAAAATTCTCTCAAATTGATTGTCTTAGAGTTTTAATTAGTTTTATTTTCTGCGTGTATCACTGGTCAAATATTAAAGCAGAAAATTTGGCCTTCTTTATTCGTTCATAACGTTAGATGCATGTCAAAAACAAGTTGGAGCCGTCTCTGTTATGAACAAAAGTTAAAAGTCTAAAACCATTTTTTGTGTTCTGACTTGCACTGAGATCAGCATTTGTTCTTGTGTCAGATACAAATTTCATTTATTTCTTTAGTCTAAGCATGCCGAAACTGTTATTATGTTCCGTACAGTAAAATTACACTGTCGTTCATAAAAAGGACACATGCTGCATGGCGTTTGTCGTTTCGTTTCAAGAGTATTTCTGGCTTTAATTTTCTCAAACACCCATATCGCTTCCTTATATCGATGAATAAATGTTCATACTACAATAAAGTTTATGCCATTTCACTTATTTCAAACCATAAATGCCCTTTAACACCATAAAAAGAAAATTCTCACCTTAGCTTCCGTTCATAACAAGCTTTGACAGTTTTGGACACTGCTATTTAGTAAGCGTCATTGAACACATGGTTGTGTACACATATTTGCGATACGTCACCGGACTTTGTGTACACATGAGTTCAATCTAGAACACGTTTTTCATTCGTGTACTCAAAGTATTCGTTCTCTAGCTACATGTTTAGCGTTCATAACAAGTGGACGCGCTACTTAGAGGCTGTGATTAATTTCACTTTTAAATACTACACATAGTTTTATTGCAACGATAATTTGTTTGTCTTTAAAATACGAATCAAACTGATTTATTTTCCATTCAATGTGCATTCAAATGCATTTGATGTTTTCTAACAACTCCTTTTTTTTATTGCGTTCAGAGTGGACACTGTAAGTTATGAACGCTTGATTTATTTTATTTTCGTTTAAATGCGTTTTTTAATAATTCTTTTTTAAAAAACACTACTCAGAGTGTAAATCCATATATTTTTCTATTCTAATCAGCAAAAAAATCTGTATTAAGTCTAATTCCAACATCCAACGCAGTAGTGCAGTCTGACAGCCACTTGATTGTAACATATAAACGTGTAAAAAGCACTGCATTTTCAACAAAACAAATGATATATTTTTTGGTTTCAGCATTTCATGAATATAATTTTGGTGTGTGTAGAATCTACAAAGTAAGCAGGTTATTTTGATATGCCCATGATACTAATAATTCAATGCTTTTTTGAGAAATTGGATATTTAATACCACTCATGTCAGCTGACCCAGTATGAAATATGTGCACCAAATTAATTGATGAAAATAATTAAAAAGGGACATACCGCCTCAGTGCTTGTCAAATAATCGGACGATATTGCATATAATGAGGGCAATTTACATGCATGGGTAATTAACTTGTAGTTATATAGCAGACTATATTGTTAACAGGTTTCTTTTAAAAATGACCAGTGCTTACCGACGCCTATTCACTGAGTTAAAAAAAGTTCTCAGAAAAACATTCTTCACATGTTGATTTCCTTTAAGAAAAATATTTTTGCGAATGCAATGCACGCGCAAATTTGCTAAAAATTTATCTACAGTAAAAATTTCCAGATTTACGGTGTTCAATGTACTTTGATATTGTGAATTTTTTAATATATATCTTTCATATTGACAATTTTTGGACGATTTATATGAAGGCTGATAAGGCCTGTCGGCGCACGAACAAAATTCAGAATAATTTTTGCATATAACTATTACATTTCCTTTTATTTCTTTAGTAAGTACTGTAAAATACATTGAACTAAAATTTACATCACTGAAATCGGAATAAAAATCTTAATTATATATCCCAATTTCATATGAATAGCTTTAAAAACAAACGATTGGTGTCATGATTTTCATAGTATCGTTGGAATTGAGTTTGATGAAAATGACGTCATCAAACGTGTAACCGGCGCACGGAGATGTAATTAATTGTGTTGAATATGCTTTATTTACATCATAGACGGGAAAAGAGTAAAGAAGTGACATTACACACCAGATTTTAATAGAAATTTTTTTTTTTAATGGAACAATATTCAATGAGAGTTTTTCTCTCTACCGGAAATAATTACAGCATATAAGAAGTAGACTACTGATTGTTAAATGCAGACAATTGGGAACAATCTGGACGCGTACGACGTTAAACAATGTGTATTCTCTCCTGCCTACAATATAAGGCAAACTTTCGACTAAAATTCAACTGAAATTTGAATTTGCTTTAAAAAATACATAAAACAATAAAGCAAATGGACAATAAAGAATTTAAATGAGTCCCTTAGTGAAGAGTGGACTATCACTTTAAAAGGAAATATTTAATGTTAATGGACGCAAGTAAAGCAGATAGAGATCATGATTATATAAGAGACGCTGTTTACGTTTGCATTCGTGTTTTAGTGTATACTTATATTCTTTCTTTATTTTTACATAATTTTCTTATTAGTTGTGATATCATTATGAAACTTGAAATGCATGATCATAAAATGTTACTTTTTGCTATGACAAGGAAAGAAATTAAAATTAAGCAAAGAGAAGATAAACTGTTTTCCCTGTCTACGACTTTTTGGGACAACCCTCGTATAAGTAGTACTTCGTAATGTTATACATGTAAGCTATTAATGATATTCAAGTAAACAGTTTAAATTCTGATTATTTTTTTTAGTGCTCTAAATAATATTTTGCACTAAATTTCATCAATAGTGTTTTTTAAAAATTCATCTTTTTCTTTTCTTATGGAGAAGGTTCTTAAACTAGAATGCTAATGATACATCCTATTTGACCACATACGCATGGCCTGCAAAATGTAAAATCGCTGTACATATGCAATAAGGCATGTATATTAAATTGTTTTACAATACACAATTAAGAAAACAACAACATTGTTTTTCTCAATATTCATTGTGAATATGCTTGAGTCTTTACCATAAAGACTACATGTTTAGTTGATGTTATGAACATGATTACAGGGTAAAATTTCTCTTTTAGACAAATAATAGTAAACAATAGCACCAGCACCCATGTTTTAGATTAAACTGCTTAACATTGCTTAATCCAGCATTCAAATATATTGGTTTTTCCAAAACTTTGAGTACATTATTTGCTGTATGTCAAAATCTCATTATCCATGATTTTTGATTTTAAAGTTTTGCTAGATTTATTAATATAGGTTTAAAAATAATTAATATATATAAACTAAAAGTTTTTAACTCTCCTAGCAGTGAAGAATTCTGTAATTGTGATGCTTTTAATATTTGCCTCTATGTTATTTTTTTAATACGTAGTATTTCCATTAGTGTACTCTTCAGAATTGGAGGCGCATTTGGTCGTCTGACTGGGACAGCATGGCATTGCGGATTATACAAAACATGCCAGTATCAATCCAATTTTAAATGTTAAGTGCATTTGTCACTCTAACTAAGAATAAAAGAACTATAAAAGACATATGAAAAAGAGCGAAAAACCCTAACTTTATCCTCTATTATTAAAAATACGACATTTCCGAGGTACAGGTAAACTTCGGTATCTCGACATCGGATATGTCGACAACCTGGGATATGTCGACATCCGCCCTCGGTCCCGGCATTATTTACAATATTCATCTTTGTTTGGGCGTGGCATTGCAGTATCAACACTGCGATCAAATGTTAAATATGGGTTTAATAGAAGTGTGAAAAGTTTCTCTAAATCCAAAATATCAATGAAAATAGACAACTGATTTAGAAGAAATCATGAAAAACACTACTTTCATAAACATGTTTAATCAAGGGAGATAATTCAACACTTGGGTTTTAAAACCCCATGTTGTCCTTTAAATAGGTCACAGGTATCCATTGATATAAAAAATAGTTGTTTCATGTACATTCTAAAAATTTCTTTGACGAGTAAAACAATATGCGTTTTTTTTTTTGTTGAGTATATGTCCTGACTTTGTTAACAATACCTTTTGTAAGAATGGAAAAGGGGGGCTGTCATTCACTAATTCTGCAAAAAGTATTTGCAATTAAAGAAAAGTATTGCATGTATTTACTGTATAACACTTTGACACATACATGTGGCTTCATACAACATTGAAATCAACTCACATTTACCTGTAAAAACCAATGATACACCTGAGTAACCTTGTGACTTAGATTCAAACCTAATGTGATACTTGTTAGACCAAATTAAATACCCTATTGAGCTATCCAGCAGGCTATTGAAAATTTAACCGCCATTTCGTATTTCGCTGTAAGAATAAAGTGACCTGAGTCACTTTGGGGATATATATACTTTAATTATAAGACAGTGGTATGTACATGGTACCAAGTCTACATACAGTGGAGCCTCATTTATCTGGACACTTTGGTTACTTGTCGGTTTCACGACAGTTTGTCCGGAAATGTAAAGCGTCCGGATATCATTATCTGAATTACCAGTTAAACAAGCCAAAATTACATTTAAAAATTCTGTTCTGATGAAAAGTGGTCCGGATACTGAAGCAACCGTATATCTGGTGTCCATATATCTGAAGGTCCACTGTATAGTATACGAAATCATTAAGGGAACCAAGTTCATAGGAACGTCCTGGATTGACCATCAGTTGGTCACCTATTTCTTAACCAAATAATGTTGTATACATGTACCAACCAAGTTACAGTGTACCATTTTATGTTTTGATAAGTAGACTATGATCGTCTTAACAACTATAAACTTTTAACAAGTGTTATTCCTAAAAAATCTGATACAAACATTATTTAAAGTGGACCAAATTGGTCATTACGTTAACACATTAAGTGACCAAAAATTGGTCATTCTGTAAACCAACTAAGTGACCAAAAATTGGTTATTAACCATTACATAAATTGTGACCAATGGATCCATCAAATCTCAACCAGTGACCAGAAAATTAATTTGATAGCAGCCCATGAGTTAATTATTACATGATACCCTCGCTTTCGTTGCAGTATATATTCCTTAGAATTCAATCACTTTGATTTGGGCTGCATATATCAGTAACTGTATCCCCCTGGATTTCATTTAGGCCTAATAAATTGCACACCTTAATGACTGTCACATATTTTTAAATTATTACATCCTCTGATAGATAGCCGAGACATAAAGAATAGAATTTCAGAGACAGTAGACATTACCATAATGTACAATGAGAAGTAAAGACAAATATCAATTAATACATTTGGAGATTAATAAACTCAGAAAATCGATGAAGGGGTTCCTCCTATCTCTACTCACTGAAATAAAGTCTTTAAAAAACAAATTGTTACATAATATATGTATTCAGCCTAATACCATTAATTAGAACGGAAATCAACAAGCTTATTGTAGAGAGGAAAAAAAACAAGCCCTGTCCTATAGGTTTCACTATTTATAATGAAGTGATCCATTCTGTTGATATACAGGGTCCATTATTCACATGTTTTCGGATTAAATACTTTCTCAAAGACATAATTCATTAAAGAATTCTTAAAACAGTCACACATGTACATATATCTCCAGTATAAAACAACATTTCTCAGGTAAAATGACCAAAGTCCAATAGCTATAGGTACCCCTGATTTACACGGTCTGAT